TTAATTTGGTTTTGAATATTTCAGTTTATGGCTAAAAGACATGTATAGTAATGCTCTCTAAGTGTCTTCCTGAGGTTGGGGAATGAAACTCCCATCGCCCTGACTGCTACTGTCTAATGAAACCAGTTAGACTGAGCGAGGGGTAGTGGGTAGCACAGTGTTGTCCCAAGAGATTCTTCGTTCTGGCTCTAGTAACACCAAGACTTAGAGGCAATTGATGGTTTGGGAGAATCTTGAAGTGTAAAGTGTCTTGGATACTCTTTCTTATACGTATTGTATTATACTTGCCATGAAACAATTCAGAAGAAATTGAGTTGAATTTAGAATATGCACTCATTTGTAACAAAAGTAATCAGTATTGAGTTCTTTATACAGAAGTTTAGTGACATTGAGAATGGTTCATTTTAGAACTATATTGTAAAACTGTTGAGCTTTATTTATATTTATTTATTTATTTATTTATTTATTTATTTATTTATTTATTTTCAGACCTCACCTGTTTCTGACTCAGAAATGTTGACAGATCAAGGCTCATCTGATGATAAAGGACATACTGAAGAAAAGCTGTCCCTAGTTTCAAAAAAGAAAACACATTTGGGGAGCTCAGACAATGTCAGCACTCTGCCAAATGAAGAAAAGTCGGACAGTGGTTTTCCAAATTCTGCAGGAGCGGACTTTGCTGAAGAGCCCGTCCCTGAGAATTTATCACCCAAGACTACATCCTCACTGGAGGAGCAGGGTGAGGAGGGGGGCCCGGAGGCCCAGGAAACACCTGCTGCTCAGAGTTCTCTGGTAGAGGTAGAACTGGAAGATGTGCCATTTCCACAGAATGCAGGACAGAAGAACCAGTCAGAGGAGCAATCCGAAGCGTCTTCTGAGCAACTGGACCAGTTTACACAATCAACCGAGAAAGCTGTGGATAGCAGCTCAGAGGAGGTAGAAGTGGAAGTTCCTGTAGTAGACAGGCGGAATTTGAGAAGAAAGGCCAAAGGGCATAAAGGACCTGCCAAGAAGAAAGCCAAGCTGTCCTGAATGAGGAAGACATGCGTATGATACATCTCTTCTTTGTAATGTAGTTGTTGTTTTTACCATGGTAATTAATAAACAGCGTGGGGCATAGGATAAATTCCAAAATTTCAGTTTGAACTTATTTACAAATGCAGGTTTCTCTCTTCCCTTTAGGATTCACCATTCTAATTTTTTCAGGCTATTTTCTGTAAGTAACTTTTATTTTTATGAACCATGTGTCAATTTTGGGAATCCATGTCATATATTTTTCCTTAGCAGGTAGAACATCTAATCATTAGTATTTTAAAAATTAAAAAACGAGTAGACTTTCTAACACAAAAATCATAGAAATCTTTTATACTAAGGGTTTTAATGGTAAAACTTGGCAAGGGTTCTCAAAGTTTTAACTTAGTATCAAACTAGTCTCCATTTTTTAAAGTGTAGGCATACATAAACAAAAATGTGTCAGTAAATTAAATATACTCTCAAGTGAGAGGACAAAAATAGAAGTTTATGGTCAGTGAAGATGATTGTTTTGGTTTTTATTAGTTGTAGATAGTTTTTTCAACATCTGTGGAGAAGTACACACACAGGCTAGCTTTCATTTCATCAGACATTAACAGTACTGTTAGAGACTTAACTGTGGTATGTGGGTAATTTAAAATTCCACCTGAAGTATTAGTTAGCTATAATTTTTAAGTTTTACTGTATATTTGAAGATGCTGAAAAACTTGAGTACACTTTTATCTTTAATCTGGTAAACACCCCAAATAATTGAATTTAGAATGTAGTTTAATTTGGACTGTGGTCCTGATCACAGAAACTTTTACTCCTACCCAGTTAATGAGTACTGCAGAAGTACAGGCGCCTTCCTAAGCCTGCTTAATCCCTCACTGCTCTTTAAGTCACTGTGCTTGTTCTGTTAAGAGTTCCTTCTAGCTTGCAGTTCATACCCTTGTGTCCGTTTTGGGATAGGTTTAGAAACACTGACTTTAGACCTACCCTATGAGATGTGCAAATGCCTACATTCTGATTTTGCTGTCCCTTTGGATCTTGTGTGCTTTTGATGTATTCTGAGTATGGGCTGCAGGCTACCTGTGTGTGTACTTTATTGCCTTGGCAAGAGCATCTGATTTTTTTATAGAGGGGGAAAGCCTGGTCATTTCTTCATGACATTTGGTTTCAAAATGAACAAAATGATTATCTTTAGAATCCATAGAGAATCTGTCAGTACTACTTTGGAAGTACCATGTATTGATTTACACTTAAGTTGGAGACTATTCTGAAACCATTTAGATTCGTTTTTTAAACAGATTGTACCTTGTGAGAGAAATGTCTGGACTTTGTGTCCTTATTTGAGATGCTGTGAGGTTTTGTTCCATTCATTCAGTCTTCATTCAGTCAGGTGATCTGGTAATGTCATGTCTTATGTTTTATTTAGGGATGCTGGTATTTTAGAAAAGTCTAATTAAAGTCTTTAAGCAGACCAAATAGCAAACTCTTCTATGTTAGAACACTTTCATATACCTGTTTTAATTTTTGGTTAGAAGCTAGTTAGATGATTTCATTCTAAGTGAAAATTATAGCATTTTTCTCAATAAATGTTAAGTTAAAAGAATAGATATGGCTAATTGATGAATTTGCCAAATGCTGATGCTGTTTTACACATTTAGAGAAACTTGTTACTATCTCAACTAGAGATAGTAACTGAAGATTCTCTTAAGATTCAGAAACTTAATCTAGTTTTTTTAATGCACATTAATAAATTCTTGTAGGTATTTTTGGCTATTATTCCCTTTAATTTACATTCTGTACATGAGTGTTTTTAAGAGATTGTACCCACTGGCAGCTCGATTTGTGAATAGTCTCTTGAGTTAAAGAAACATATTCACATATCACACTGGAGACTAGCAGTATAAGCTTATACTTATCAAACTTGTTTGGTATAAATGGAATTTAAAGCAATTTCAAAACATTTTATTTAGCAAACAAGAAAACTTATTGTCTGTGACAGAAGTTAATGTTTAGAGATCACAGGAAAAAGCTGGAAAAGATCTTTTATATTCAGTAACATACTGATTATATAAAATTATATAAAATTTCTAACAAAATTTATGTTCAGTAGGGAACCAGAATAAACTTAGATACTTGTAGTTTTTGCAAGGCATTAGGAAGACTGCTTGCTGTGATTTCAAGCAGCTATTTGTTGAGTGGTCATATTCTGTAGTCTCTTGTGAACTGGTACTTGTTTAGAAGTCATATTTGTGGAGGATGTTCCCTTCTGGTGTATATACATATATATTTCCTTATATAATATAAAGCAGATGAGTATTAGCAAAATTTTAGTTCTACTTTCAAACTTAAACTACTGTTAGACCACACAAAAAATTAATTTAAGAATTTTATTGTAAAGATCCTTTACAACTTTAAAGATGCAGAGATTCTATTATGATTTTTTTAATGAAATCAAATAATAGCATGACCTAGAATGTCAGTCTTCTACGTATGTTCACATTCTTCTACTTTAATGTGTCTTTCATATTTCCATTGGTTTGCAGAATAAGGAGGACATCTAGTCATTAATGGCTTACTTTTAACAGATGACTACAATGTTAACTGAGATGGTTTGTGACTTTGGAGTAGTATTCTTTTCAGCCCTTTCTACCAACTAAACATCTGCTCTAAGGTTCTTCCCTTTGGGATCACCTTCTAAGGTGTGGTCATACCAGTAACTGAAAGATTTTAATGTAAATAAAGAACTTATACTAACACTACTCATGTAACCGTATTTTAGAAAGCAACTTCTGCTTTTTATGTCCATTAACAATCTGGTGTTTTTGGTGTGGTCTGTTACATACGTCATGCTTGTTTTCATACTTCCTACCATGCTTTTTTTGGTACAAGATAGTTTGCTGTTTTTAGTTCTAAAAAAAATAAGCAAATCAACTTCAGCAGTACCCACTGATTACCTTTCACCTTCTGTAACTTAAGTGAATAAGTCATACATTACCCGTTTTTATTGGTGGGAAATGTTAAAAGCTAATGGAAAGAAAGGTCCTGAGGTGATTCTGTCTGTACCGAAGGGTCATTTACTAACCTTCCTTTTCCCTTAACATTTTTGTATGTTCTAAAACTTAGCCGGGGAAATGATGTATCATTCACAGTAGCAAGTCTTACTGGAGAATTTATCATTGGTTTCCTTGCTAGCCCCCCCCTCCCCCCTTAATGTTTAAAGTAGTAATTAAACCTATATTTTGTGATTGTTTTCTGGTCTGTGTTTTCAATTTTTCTTTTTCCCCTGAGTTTCATCCATAAAGATGTGCTTATTGTATTAGACACTGAATGAGTCTGTTAAAGGCATAGCCAATCACAATGGCTATTATTATGAAGGCAGACTTAAAGAACAGTTTAAAGCAAATGTGATATACAGACACTTTCTGAAGCTCAAAGCCATGATCATGGGATTCATATGTCACAAAAGAGCTTGAATTATGTTACAACTCCAAATCATAAGTGCTGCATCTCAGGTCACTAGTACATAGTCTAGAATTATCTAACCAAGTTTTAACATCATTGTGGCAATATAAATGCAATATCCTATTTTTAGAATATAGAAAATGGTAGAGGTACACTTGAGTTCACGGAAGTACTACATAAAGTATTAATTACAAGTGGAATTTTTTTTGGTCTAATTTACCTTCTCACATACTTTTAATGTAGTATTTTATAAACTTAAACATTACCACTAGTTTAAAATGCTCCATTTTTTAAGGATTAATGGCAACGAGATGGAAAATACTTGAACAAATTCCTAGCCTACCCACTAAGTGTTTGTTATCTTTATGGGTCCTTCAAACTACACAGTGGATTTCCAGTAATGACAGACCTGCGGTGCTGTCTGCACACTCTGTTCACATCTATCTGTATGCGTGCTATTCCGTCACTAACGTTTATCAACACGTAAGCCCTCAGGCACCAAACAGTAGACGGACTAACTGTACAACTGAGCAGTTTTTATTTTTCTTTCCAATGTAATAAATAGCCCTTCATGACTGCAGAGGGGGCAGCTTGGTAGTAGTCACAAACCACAGTGATGGTGTCTTGCTACAGGTGGGTAGTCTTCAGTAGATAGAAGTCACTATCAAACCAGCAAGACTGCATTTATGCACCCATCGTTTTCAGGATTGTTGGTAACCTGGGCATACTTTCCTGTGGAAAACAAGACCCAAAGGAAGAAAAGAAAGTTTAAGAAAAATAACTTTAGAGAATAAAACTTTTGTCTAAAATATTTCTAACTACCATATTTAATAAAAAGATAAGTAAATTGAAGATCAAGTTGTACTCTAAGTTTATGTAAACAATGTTCAAAAAAAGCAGCCAGCTCCAATTTATCAATACATTATATTAGTGTCTACTTTCCATGATAACTTATTTTGCTTTAATAAATTTCTAATCAATTTAACAACCAGTTTTAAACAATATCTTCCTTTTCAAACAACATCTAAGTTTGGGGATAATCTGGGCAGGAAAAGCAGAAACTAATCAATGAGGAAAGACCTCATCTCTCTACCACCAACATACCTGACTCTTCCACATTAGAAGGAAATTGTATGCTTTGATCACTTAGATAAGTGATTGCGTCAGGACTCTAGGAAAGCAACCCCATATTTAAACTTTTACTTACCCCAAATAACCTTGCCTCCTTGTGTCACGAGGCCCAGCTCGCTCACGTTCACTTCAATAACTGTACCTTTGGTGATCACACCCAGAGTTGTATATAATGGGGATGATGGATTCTTTTTCACACCAAGTATTGGCAGGCAAAATGTAGCTTTCAGCTCAGGATGTGTGACATGGGCTTTTTTGAAACGCAGGCCCTAGTAAGTCAACCATAAGAATGAGTCCAAATGGTAAACAGGGTCTTCAGAATCCTCATCTTTTCTAATCATCTCAACTAGGGGATAAATCATGTCTTAAAAGATCAGATAAGATACTAATGTTTTTACAGACTAAATATCTCAGTGGATAAATGTGGGAAGAAGTACGCAGACTCCAAAAGGTTTTCCTATGTAAGAGTATTCTGTCAATACTTGTATTTTTCTTTTCCTCATTACTACACTTACTGAAGGCTTACTATATGCTAGAGCTCATAATAAGCTCATTTATACAAGACAACCTTAAAAGAGCCCTCCATCTTCACAATGACTAAGGAAACAAGGGTCTGCAGGCTTGAATTTTGTTTCTAGATTAAATCATGTGGTATATGGAATCAAGCCCACAGGTTCCAATTTCAAATTCCAAATACATGAACTACCTTTAGAGAGGAAGAAAGAGGGACAGGAAGGTGTTAGTTTTCTTTATGTAGATGGCAATATGATTCAAAGACCAGAGAATATTCTGAGAGGTCCTGTTATAGACCTGAATGGGGACCTATCAGTACAGTCCTTTAAATGTCAGCACACTATGCAGCCTTGCTTTATTACCTGTGAGGGGATGGAAGGAAAATGATGTCAAATTAAGAATGAGTAAATGTTCTGGGCTCTGCCGGCCAGGCAGGTACCCGTGGTGCAGTAAGTGAGCTGGGGAGTGAGGATCTGCACTGCTGATGGGAAGAGCATGGCTGCTGGCAGTGACTGCAGCATGTGAACCCATGACGAGAATTCAGATTGAGCATTAGGATCAACACCCCAACAGTCCTGTTTCCAAGCAGGCTAGACTTATGATGGTACATTAAGTCTCTAAAAGGATTCTGAAAAATCAGTTCCACATTTTTCAAAGCAAGAGGGGAAATTGTAGGTAGGGGATTAGTTTGTGGAGATACTGTCATTACTGCTATCAACAGAAATTAAGCCACTTTTATAGTTCCTTAGAAAAGTAAAAATGGTTACATATAGAATATACTCAAAAGGAGTGAAAAAGATATTTACCTCACTAAACTTCAGCTATGTCCAATGCTTTTTAGGTCTTTTGGCTAAGACCAAATGTAAGCAAACATCCTTTTTGTTTGTTTTTTGAGACAGGGTTTCTCTGTGTAGTTTTGGTGCCTGTCCTGAATCTCACTCTGTAGACCAGGCTGGCCTCAAAGTCAGAGATCCGCCTACGTCTGCCTCCCAAGTGCTGGGATTAAAGGTGTGCACCACGCCCACCTGGTGTAAGCAAACACTCTTACTCAATTGTCTAATGTGCTGATATCAAAGGCCCGTGCTTGAGGCCTAGCACTTCAGGCATATAGCATCTTACTTGTTGATGAATAAGGAAAATATGACTATAAAAAAATGAAGAGCCTAAAGTATCATGTTTAAATATAAGAATCCACTGGCAATGTGTTATAAAAATTCTTTCAAATCTATTATGAATCTGAAGTTAAGATTCAGTGTAGATTCAGGGGAAAATGCTAAGTAATTCCACTAATGACTTAAAAATAGCACAAAATGCTATCCAAGCTGTTTTTCATCACAAAATGCTGGCCAAGCTGTTTTTCACATCAATTTTAGCAATTTCAGGAAACTGAACTACACTTTATCCAAGAATATTTAATAAGGGGCTAACATTAAGTCATCACACTCTCACAGAAACTTACCATTGGCCTAATGAATCTTTCATATTTAGGAGGTTTTCTTGTAAAACCATCACCAACAAAGCAGACTTTAGTAACCATCCTCTTCCATGCCTTCTTTTTTCTTTTTCCTGTTCGAATAACTTTCAATACTTCTGTTTCTCCTTGGGCACGAACTTTGGGTAGAGGGACTTCCCATTTTCCCTAAAAGTGTGTGTTTACATTGTAAGGAGAGATAGTAAGTCAGGTGTTTCAGTCAGAGGAGGAGACTCGCCTCACCTGAACTACTCAGCACACTGCAGTTGCTGTTCAACTGTTTGAGAAGTCTGTGCTATCTCCTCACAAGCCATAATTAAGCAAACCAGTTAAGTTCGTACATCCTGAATACATTAAATAAATGATCTGGTTCATACATCGTTACAGACCCAAAATATATCCCACTAAAGCAACGACTTAAACACATGGTATGTCCTTGTTACTAGTTACAAGCACACTACTAGAGAACAGATTCCACCTAATTTGTTTGTATTTTTCCCTAAAATGGACTTTGAGCCTGATCATCAGATGTTTTGTACCATCCAGAATACACAGACACACAAAACAAAACCTCCAAAGCTACAGCAGTGTAAGGCAATGGAGAAAAATCTGGACTAATATTACTAAGACGTGGGTTCTAGAAGCAACTTGACCTGACAGCCAAGAATGACGTACAATCCCTTGAACTCTAGTCTCTTTTATTTGCAGTTAGACTAATTCAATCTATTGAGTGGATAACCACTACTAGTCACACCATTCTAATTTGAGATATTTACAAATTGAAAAAAAAAACTTTTAATACTGTGTATTTTCCTATTGGATATTTATTTATTTATTTATTTATTTATTTATTTATTTATTTATTTATTTATTTATGTTTTTCGAGACAAGGTTTCTCTGTGTAGTTTTGGTGCCTTTCCTGGAACTCACTCTGTAGACCAGGCTGGCCTCGAACTCACAGAGATCCACCTGGCTCTGCTTCCCAAGTGCTGGGATTAAAGGCGTGCACCACCACCGCCCGGCCTTATTAGATTTCTTAAATCAATCTATTCAGTTACTTAAAAATATCTGTGCTCTTTCTGAACTGGGACAGAATTTTAGCTAGTTTGTCCATAACTGTAAAAGGTATGCTAAAAGAACGTTTGAATTTTTATTTAGTTAAATCCCTTTGGAAAATTTCCACTAGAACCAATTTTGGCACTGTAAGGCTAGAAAAACAAAGTTGTGTTTTTCTCTCTGTAGTACAGCATCAGGGATTTTCAAATGTAGAAGTCGTTAACTACCGAATTTTTTTTTTTTTTTTTTTTTTGTTTTTCGAGCCAGGGTTTCTCTGTGTAGCTTTGCGCCTTTTCCTGGAACTCACTTGGTAGCCCAGGCT